TAAAAACAAAACTTGTACAGATGTGGGTGGAATCCTCTTTTAAATCGGTAGACCAACTGCTCATGTGGAAAATTTAAGAAAGCAAAGGAGGAAGAGGTATCAATGTAAGTCTCGGTTGAAAGAAATGGTTCTTTCCATTGACAAGACGGAAGTACCTCACTTTCATGTTAACAGAAAATTACGGTTGGGAAGGTAGATCTTCAGAGGTCAATTTGTGAAGCTGATATGTAAGGCCCTCTTAAGTCTAGACAGGACAGGTCGGAAGGTCTGACCTAGCGATAACGATCCACGACCCATCTCGGAATTGGTCGACCGTCTTAAAAGATTCTAAGAAAATAGAAACATACGAGGGGAAAACTTTACATTGCAGGCCTCTATATGGCGTAATTCACTAAAACGGAAAAACCCCGCGTAGCCAATTGGGTATAGAGCGACCGGTCTAAGATCAGAAAGAGACGGAAATTTATCTTTTATATTTGATATCACGAGGGCTTGTAAGATCTCAGGGGTCACAGGATCTTTTTCGACCCTTGACCTACTCAGAATTCTCTGAGATGCATTGATCATTGAATAACCAGAGGGTGTGAAGACATTTTTGATGAACCAACCATCCGCTGCGCCCAATCAATGCTGTAGACAGCGTTAATAATTGGAACCGGAGAATATGCTTCATTGAGCAGGCACTGTAAGTAACCTGCTACTCGAAAGGGATTGACAAGTAAATAATGATGAAGCCCATCGTTTCCAACCTTTGAACTTTGCAAGGTAAGCAAGTACGGTGCCATCCGCTTTGGAAGCCAGAACGGTGCTCTTTACCATGCAAGCTGTAGATTTCAGGATGCTCGGGGACTGAGAAGAAAAATTTTGTCTTTATTTCAGACTGGAACACAACTGAAAATAAATAACGCTTACAGACAAAGCGAAACAAGAGAAAACACCCACCTGATAACGAAAGGGTGAATACACTAAATATTAAAATCAAATGGTTATTGGTAGATAAATGAATAAACAAGTAATTAATTAGATACCTAGCTGAATGAAAAAATGCTTCGGTGTAAAAATGAATAAATATATCAATAAATAACTGTGATGACAAGGGTAAGAAACCTCATGACAGAAAGAATTTGCTATTTTTTCGCTTCTTTTGTAAGTTTTGCCGAGTATTGTTGCTCATAAATTGATAAACTGGCGTCACTCTGAACAACCGTAAATTTACCTCTTTCTGCGGTTTGAAAATCATCACAATATATACTGTCTGGTAAATTTGACCGCGAAATTACGTGTTCATTAAGTTTTGCTTGGTTAAGGCGGGGCACCAGAAGAGAGAGAAGTCTCGCATTTCTGTTTTCCGTTAATATCCTCCTGTGTGTTCTTTATAATACAGCTAAGCTCAGTGGAGGCTCCTTTAATTTCTAATTAGTCACTTTAACAAACATAGGTTACAATAAGTCTTTTGTAGCGTTTCGTTTACAACTACGACGAAGGAGGCTAGGGGCTTTGCTCTATACCGTACAAGAACGTAGCCCTGTGATTTAGCAACTCAGGTGTGGAACCAGAGAAATAAAGAATTTGTATTCGTTCTAGAGAGAAAAAGGCAAAATGAAAGATTTTAAATTCATTTTTCATGAATGCCACACAGAGGTTTTAATAAGATGAAATAAAACTTTTCCTAGTCACCTGGAAATAAAGCAAAGATAAGTAAGTAGTCGTGATCCTTATAGTTTCTAACGCAAAGTCAGCGAGAATACATTGTAGATGCACTCAAAACTACAAAAGAAACAGTGGAATAGAAGAGAACATTCCCCTGACCGTGAAGTTCCTTGAAACGTATTCATTTATTCATTTTTGATATAAAAAAAACTATAATTCTAAAATATCAATTGTGAAAACTCCTTTGTGAACGTGGAGTTTTCTATAGAGTAGTGATTATCACGTCCGCCTTACCTGCCAGAAACAGTTCCGATTATATTTTTGATAATAGGATGGGTTGACTGTATAGTAGTAGTTATAATTACTTTTTGTCCATTATCTAATCTTCCTTGTGAGAACAATTAATAACTTCAAATTCAATAAATCAAATTTCAGTTTAGTGATACTCTTCTTTTCATGAGAACCTTCTTCTTTCTAATTATGTTGAGACTGATGTAAAACTAATTAAGAGACCCTTACCGGTTCGCAAGTCACTCTGAACGGTTTTTTTTGTGCTCGTGCAGACTTAGATCAACAAACTACAAAACAGCAATTGATGACTATTGAACGGTACTGTTCAAGTGTAATTTGTCATCTTGAATTTCTACATGTCGCCTTCCAGCAATTGTCGAAATTGCTGCGTCTGCACATCATTACATCCACACAAAAAAGCCTTTATTTAAGTTTTAACCACTGCCTATGACAACTACAGAATTGCATTAGCATCATTTTAAAAAATGTTGAAAAGTCTGTAATGCAACAACTTTTTGTCGGAGTGCGACGACGGGTTTGAAATTATTTTGTCTGATTTGTCAGTCCTTCGTCTTAAACTACCCAACTGTGGGAACTCTGCTCCCATCATATTCCACGACAAAACGGGCCTGTCCGGGAGTCGAACCCGGGACCTCTCGCACCCTAAGCGAGAATCATGCCACTAGACCAACAGGCCAGGTAATATATAAATTCTAAAAAATTATTAGTATTTCTTTGACGCGTAGCAGGTGGCAGGTGTGTATTCAAGTGATCGCTCCTTACTGGTCGTAAGGTCTATTATAGACTATAGTCTATTCCACTTTCCCTGTTATCGTCTGAGAGTAGATAAAATCTATTCCAATCGCCCTTTCAGTAGGATAGAGGTGTTCCATTCCGATAGAGCTCTTTTACTCGAAAATTCCGTACTTAATCTAAACTCTTAAATCTACCTAATCTTAAATCTAGCCCTTGTTAATTATGCACAAGAAGCCGGTCTGATAAAACAACACCAATTCGCCTTTAAGAAACATTCATCAACTATGGTTGCCCTAATTCGAGCTGTAGATTCATGGAAAATGGCTATTGACAGATCAGAAAAAGTAGTATGTGCGTTTTAAAGATTTAAAGAAAGCCTTCTAAAGATTTAAAGAAAGCCTTCGACGTTGTAGACCATAATGTCTTGCTACAGAAGCTTGCTCAACATGATGTGACTGGCAAGGAACATGAGTGGTTTGAAAGCTATCTGTCTGGAAGACTCCAGTTTGTCTCGTGTGATGGAACTGATTCCGAACAATTGACGATTACCTATGGAATACCGCAGGGTTCTGTGCTAGGCCCGACTCTATTTAATATTCATATAGATAGCATTTCAGACGCATGTGATAGCTGTGATATTGTATTGTACGCCGACGATACAGGAATTCACACCAGCTCTAAAGATGTTAAAATTGCTGAACAGTATGTAAATGAAGATCTTGGAAGAGTTACCGATCGGCTCAGTACTGATGGTCTTATCTGCAATCACCAGAAATCAGAAGCAATCCTGATTGGATCAAAACACGCAGTGAAAAATGCTCCAGACTTACAAATCATTATGGATGGGAGGCTACTGAAACAGTGTGAAGACTTCAAATATTTAGGTGTTTATATAGATAATACTCTTAGCTGGAACAAGCATATTACATATTTAGCCTCTAGGATATATCCCAAGCTTAAGATGTAAAATAGAATTGCACCCTTTCTTAGTCAAAGGGTGCTTTTAAATATCTATAAACAAACGATATTACCCAAGAAGAACAGTGGAGTAGAAGAGAACATTCCCCTAACGAAGGATATACTAAAACAAATCCGTGATCACGTTTTTCATTATTTTATCAAGGCAACCAAAGTCGGAGAAAGTCGATTGCGTTGCCGAAAAAAAATAAAATTTGAACGCAAGAAGAAAAGGATAGCATGGCTGCGCTACTCTTCAGAAGGATGCCTAAGGAGAATGCTTGTTTAATTGATATATACTGCATCATTCATATTCTCAAAGGCTTGTCTGTATGGATACTCACTGAGGGAGTCTTGTTTTGCACCTCGAATGTGTCCACTTTTCCTTAAGATTCCACCACAAGATCTTCTTCTCACTAAGTAGAGTATTATTTTTATGTAAATCATCTTGTATGTTTTTCCTTGTCACTTCCACATTTATTTATTTATTATATAAAAAAACTATAATTTTAATATGACTAATGTGCCGGTTTCTGTAATGTAGTGCTAATCACGTTCGCCTAACACGCGGAAGGTTGTAGGTTCGAGCTCTGCCAATAACATTTTCGATTTCTGACCACTATATCTTTGCTTGGAAGATGGGCATACACCACTGCAGTATGTGCAGCCTTACAATTCTAACAAATTGTATAAAAGTATGAAATATATTCACTTTTTGTCACTTATTTTTTCCTCCTTGTGAAGATAATTAATTACTCCAAATTCAATAAATTAAATTTAAGTCTTCTTTTCATGAAAATCTTATTCTTTATGGGTATGTCGAGGCTGAGGTAAATTAAAAAACACACCAACTACTCGAGAACAGCTTTTTCGTCTAGTAATTTAATGTGGCCTTGTTAATCTCTGTATTCCGATTATTTGCCGGGATTCGCACCACAGAAAGCTCAAACGAAATTAAAAATCCGTGCACGTGTTGGCTAAGAATCGCAAAATTATGTACTCCGTATGGAGTAAATTTAAGATAATTTCGCGAAACCCTGTCGTTTATTCTGTCTATGCAAAATCGTTCTCTTCACGTCTTCAACGTCTTTCTGGTGTCTACAATTACATGGAAAATTGACACTTTGACACTCGAATCACTATGAACTTAAGGTGAAACGTTCGAGCGTGCGTAACTCGCGTGCCACCTGACAGCCCAGCTTCACCAGCTATTCAGCAACAGGAGTGAAAAGCAAATGAATGATAGAAACAACCGAGCCTGTTCTTACAACACCCTCCTCGATTCCGCCGTTAGTTTATTCGGAACATGGCATTTCAGACGTGGCGTAGACGCCACGTACCTGCAAGTTTCTGTAGTGTAGTGGTTATCACGTCCACCCAACACGCGGATGGTCGCAGGTTTGAACCTTGCCAGGAACAAATTTTGTCACAATCGTCTGCACTATAAAAAAAATTTTAAAAAGTTTTATAATTATCTTCTTATCATAATATTTTTTTCTGAATATTTTGAGGGTGAGTTAACTAACACACGCGCTTACCAGTGGCTACTCAGTCTGGATTGTTCTGTCTATGCTCGTGTAAAGATCAAATGAATAAACTTGTTGGTATGACACCTTTCCTGCACTCTTTACTCAACCTCCGTCCTGCGATTATTTGTTGGGATTCACACGAGTGATGTTGACTGCTCCCACTGGTCTGCAACGAGTACATGTGTGTGCGTAGAATCGCAATATGTACACCCATGAGATATATTCACATACAGTAGTTTCGCAAAAGCGCCCGGCATTTCTGAGAAAATTTAGGAATGGATATCAAACATCCGTGTAAGACGCTAATCTCCTACATTTAATTATAAATAGATCAAAAACTTTAATCACATTATATTCCACAACAACGGGAATCTCCGGAAGTCGAACCCAGGACCTCTCGCACATAAAGCGGGAATTATGCCATTAGACCAACAGCCATGAGTTCCCAGATATCTTTGCTAACATCGGAGAGTTGGTATCTAAACTTGCGAGTCTACTAGATAGGCGCTCCAACCAACTGCGACCCGAGTAATAATCTTGATTGAGAAAAAACTAAACTGAAATCGAGAGACAATCGTTGTTACAAGCCTGCTCCATTTTAGAATCTCTTTGAGGAAACTACAATAGAGACAGGTGAAATTAATTTGATGTTCTTGGCCTTTATCGCAGTTTCTGAGCAGATGCACGCCATATATTACCCGTAGCCCGTTTTCTTTTTTTTTTTTTTTGAATTTGCTTTATCACTTTAGATGCCATTGACGACCAGAAACGTCGTCACAACTGACAAAATACCATGATAGTGGAACAATCCACAGCCACATAACAAACGTCTGTTACCACGATGATCAGCAACAAAAACATCATTAGCCCTCTAATATTGCCCAGTTTGAATGATTCATGCAAGACGTTATAAGGGGACGAGGCTAAAGCAGCTGCTTCGCCTGTATCCAGGCCTCCTCCTACCTTGGAAAAGAAGCAAAGATTAGTGATCGAGAACTTCATTATTTCTCGCGCGAAATCAAGGAGAATGCATCGTAGATGCATTCTGGTCTTGAAGACTACGACAGGAACAGTGAACAGTGATGGCAATCGGTTTCATCTGCTACATGATTTATCTAATTCGTTCATTCAATCGAGGCAACCAAAGTCAGATAAAAAAACAAAAAACAATCGAGAGCCAGCATAAGTAATCTTTCAATGGTATTGCCCAGCAATAATAGCATTTGAACGCAAAAGGAATCGTCCCCGGATGGGATTGAACCACTAACCTTTCGGTTAACAGCCGAACGCGCTGACTGATTGCGCCACGGAGACTGCGCATATCAAAGTATCCTTAAAACTTAAGGTGAGAAGGTAACTAAAATAACTTCACATACGCCGATTTATGAATACGAAGTTTGCAAAAACACAACACAAGTCAGTCTCAGACCAACGCTTTTTTTTAAGACTATTGAAGCGCCGAAAGGCGATGATTGTGAATAAATACTCCGAGACTATATAACACAGCCCTGACGATCAAGAATTTCATGTAAACGGGGAAGTTTTGACGTCCTTATAAGGTTAAATTACAGTCAGTTGGTGTACGGTTTGAAAAAAGATTTCCATATGGCCATCTTCGTTATTGTTTTATGACTTTCATAGATGGAAATGTTTCCGATTACTGGCGTTATCTCTATTTTCAGACCTTCAGATTTTCAGATTTTTGTGCTGGTTGTACCTAAAATTCGCTTCAATGCATTTGCTAGTATTAAGAGTCATGCTAGCGACTGGTTTCACTAGTTTTATCAAGTTGAGAACATAAATATTACCGTCCATTCCCTTTTTTTGCTCTCCTATATTAATTTAGCACATGGTCAGAGGAATAAAACACCTAAAATTCTTCTGTTACTATTTTTTCGGAAATGTTAATCAAATACATCCTGAATGAATTCAACATATACAAAAAAGCCACATTTGACCTCTAGATGATTTCAAAAAAACATTTCCCTTGTTGGCCTACGTGATGGTTGAACGCACAGTCTTGGCCTTATCCAAACCACGCTTTGTCGACTGAGTTAATAAGTAAGTTAGCTGGTACCAAAAATAACTGAACAATTATTTTACGTTTTATTCCTCTCAGATGTTCTCGGTAAAACTGATCTTTCAAGATGAAAAAAAATGATGATAAGCATAATAGATAAAAAGATGAATGAATAAGATTGGAGAATTAGCTCAAGTGGTAGAGCGCCGGATTCAATGATTATGCACGATTACAAAAACTTTAAACTTCAAAAGGAAGTCTTACTGCGCGTTTACCCTGTCTTCTAATGTTAATAATAAAAATTACAATTTCCTTGATAGTAATTGGTTTAAAAAACTCCTATTTTCCACTAACTCACTTGCCAAGTTGTTATCGGACAGTTTGTTATCAGACAGTTCAACAAGGCAATCACATTCAAATTTATTGTGTAAATTAACCAATCACATTCAAATGTATAGTTAAAATCAACCAATCATGACACTAGACAATTTAACTTGGTTATTCTCCCTCTCTCGGAAATTGTAATTTTTATGTTCAATTGGAAATAAGACTTCTTGTCGTCCAATTGGGTCTGTAATCATACTCATGATAAACAAATACCTCTTGCTGGTAATGATATGATAATGATATGATAGATATAGTAATGACATGATTAACGAATACTTTCTTTTGAGAGAAAAGTGAGGCTAAAATAAACGAAAATTTTACAACAAACTTAAAACGCACTTAGCTTTGCTGGCAAATATCAGAATATCTATGTTTATGCTCACACGACAGATGAAAGTTTTACGCGTTTACACGCCAAAATCCAGTAATGTCATGACGCATCGTGAACCTCTCTATCGCCAATATTTTTCCGAAGACCGCGATAAGAGTTGCAGAAGTAAAAAATAACAAAAACAAATGAAGTTTGTATATTGCATTTGTTGTTTACCTTGCCGGAATGTCCACCGCTTATTAGTCTCGCTCACCCTGCGCCAAATCCGGTAAAAAAAAACAGTGACATTCATTTCCAGTTTCATCTCCTTTAGAATCCTTCGAGGTTTACGAGTTTTCTGTCATCAGTGATATGAGAAAAAAGAAAGTGGAGAATCCGGGTATCGATCCCGATACCTCCCGCATGCGAAGCGGGCGCTCTACCATTTGAGCTAATTCCCCGGCTCATGTATCACAGCCTGGTGAAAAGGATCAGCCAGTCTCGCAACAGTGCTCATCATTAATGTTTCCTTACTACTCATCTCACTTCTCTTATTTTCAGTCAGCTAAGAAATTTGTTTAAACTCGAGATAAAAAATTTCGGAGGCCTAGCTAAAACTAATGTTATTTGGGCCCATAGAGCTGCCATAAAAGCTAATGGCTTTTCATTGACAGTACCAAACAAATCCAATGCTGGATAATGTGGTTTTGCGAACTGAGTTGATAAAGTAAATTGGCCACAGTGAAGAGTTTCATAGCTAATGTCTCGACCGTTGGCCCTTTGCTCTGTATCCTGCTTTACTCCCTATTGAAAAGACCAAGTGTAGCGCCTTAGAAAAACGAACACAATGTTAGATTTATCTTGTTAGATACACGATATTAATTTTATTTTTGGTGTTTCGTCTGCCCACTCCTCTACCGAATCAGCAGCACATACAGTTGCTTTAGAAAATACCCCCCTCTAAATCCAATCCTGGTTAGGATGGAGAACTGCAGCGTCATTTTCTGATAAATCTGGCGACGAAATCGCGCCCGCGAAAAAAGAGACTCAATCAAAGGAAAAAAAGCAAAAAGAAAACTTTAAAATATTTGTATTTAACCCGCAAGATCTTTATGAACGAAGAAAAGACAAACCTTTTCACTCGACCAGGCGGCCTCTTTTTCCCGCCCGGTAGTTTAATTGTCACGTTGAATGTTTGGGAAGGCAGAGAGAGGGTTGCAAATGCAGGTTTTAATCCATTGGCTGAAGATAAGAGATATTTGGATTGGTTAAACTGGAGGTATATCATTTTCATGCCAAAAAAATATTCCAGTGGAGACGCTTCCCACGATAAAATTATTACGCCGTTCCACCACAACACGAAAACAAGCCTGTTGAAAAATACCTTTCACTACCCATCCAGGACCTTTTAACCACACGAGCTGAAGCGAACTACCAGAAGATAAACAGAAAGCATTACTGATAGTACGGCTGTTCATTCTAATTGTCACAGGTTTGTCTGGATTGATGCTTATTCAGTGAAGGTTTGTGTTGCACCTCGAGTAGATCTCCAACAATCCTTCTTTCCACTTACACCATAAATTCTTCGAAAAATATACTAGTTTTATTTCCGTATACATAAACATATTTTTTTTTCTATTTTTTTGTTGTCGTTGTGTTTGGTATCTATTACTTTATCTTCTTATTTCACTTTGATAAGATTATTTGTCTTTGTAGTTAAGGTTCCTGTAGTGTAGTGGTTATCACGTCCGCCTCACACGCGGAAGGTCGCAAGATCGAGCCTTGCCAGGAACAAAGTTGTTATTTTGCAAATATGTCCATAGTTTCAAATTCTATCGAACGAATAAAAATTTCATTACACTTTTATTTTCTTAAGAACCTTTCTTTATTTAGATGCCATTAAGTCTGAGGTAGACCAAAATGCTAAAAGACTTAAATTAAGCATATGTTCACCTATCGGTTGCAAATTAAATTACGTCGAGATTACTTGCCGGGATGTCAACTGTGTCACAGAAACCTCAAACAAAACATAAAAAGAATAACTTCACAGCGACGGATCATTGAAGCAGGTCATAGAGAGAAGGATAGTGCTGACCTCGCAAGAGGATACGAAAAACGACAGAGTAAAAACAGGGGTACCTACCGTCCAAGTTGGAGGTCGTGGGTTCAATTCCGATCGGTGCCTTTACTATTTTTAGCAAACACATTTTGCAAACTGCACCTAATAAGTAAGTGGGAGTTAGTAAACATCAAAGAATACTGTCATCTTTACGAGCAGAAAGAGAAATAAGATGTACATTGATATACAGCAAGAGTTAGGCAATTCACAAGATTGGAATTTCAAAAGTACCAGGCCTTATTTGTGCGGTCCAGAACTCATAGAATGACGACAGTTTAGACAATCCCCCTCCATCATCTCGAAAAGAATCTAAACAATAAGACAAAGCTGATTACATTTACTTTCTCTGATGACACTGGTTAGGTTGTTTCTGTTTCCGTTTTCACATGCACTTCACAAAGATTTCAAATTCGTTTTTCGTGAGTACCACAAAGAGTTTTTAACTGACTAAAAATGGGAATTTTTCTAATAACCTGTAACAAAAAGTAATATCTCCCCGGCGGGGAATCGAACCCCGGTCTCCCGCGTGACAGGCGGGGATACTCACCACTATACTACCGAGGACCTCTGGTGCCTCATAAAGAACCAATACTTGAAAACAATTTCAGGTTGCTTTAGATCTTTTTGTGATTATGACTTTCCGAAAAAAGAAGGATCTAACCGTAGAATATATATTGAATTGATACATACCAGCTTTTATGATCCTGTTAATTTTAACTCGTGGATATGCTTAGCGACGAGTGATATGGAGATTTCATATGCACATTTCGCGGCGTTAGCGCGGCCTCAAAAGTTCGGTCAGGGAATGCATCTTATTCAAGATGACGGACCGACTTTGAATCCCTAAGGGAGGACTTTTCCTGTTTTACCGGAATCATAGGATCATTGGCTTCAAGCAAAAACAGCCACGAGTTCACTAGAGTGTCACCTAGATTTGCTTTACTCTCCGGAAGCTCTGCTAACATCAGGGAGATTTTTTCTCAATTAGAAAAAGGCACTGATGGGATTTGGACCCGCAAGTTTACTAGACAGGTGCTCCAGCCAATTGAACTACAGTACCCATGCGATAATCTCGCTTTAGAAAAACTCATAGCTTACATTGAGAGACAACTGTCATTACAAGCCTGAACTATTTCAGGATTTTTTTTTAAGTAAGGTGCAATACCGATGGGCGATATTACTTTGTATTTCTATGCCCTTGATCATAGTTTCCGGTCATCAATGAAACATTAGTGCATGCACACCAGGTATGACCTACAGCCCAACCGATGTCAACGTTACCTACTTCCTTTTTTTTTTCCTTTTTTCTGTTTTGGACTTGCTTCTTTCCCCTAGAGATACTCCCAACTGGTAAAATACCACGGAAGTGGAAAAATGCATAGCCATATGACGACTGTCCGTTATCACGACAAACAGCAACAACAACATCATTAGCTCGTTCAGCATCTTACATTGCCCAGATTGAGAGACGCATTCAAGACACTGAAAAGGGACCAGGCCAAAGCAGCTGGTTCGCCTGTATCCAGACTTCCTCCCACCTTGGAAAAGAAGCGAAGTTTAGTGATCGTGAACTTTATTGTTTCTAACGCAAAGTCGGCGAGAATACATTGTAGATGCACTCAAGATTACAAAAGAAACAGTGAAATAGAAGAGGAGATTCCCCTGACATAGGATATACCAAAAGAATTCCGTGATCACATTTTTCATTCATTTTATAGAGGCAACCACAGTCGGATAAGAAAAAAAAAGTAATCGAGGGCCCAGCATAGGTAATCTCTGCAGTAGTGAAGGGTGCCAGTATAGCGGATAGCCAATCAGAGAGCCGTATATCGCACACGGATGGATATGAGCGTGCAAATTTTAAATGAAATGAAGAAGTGTATTGCAAAATGGACAAACTCCCTCACACAGATCAACAAAACGATAGGAGAAGTCTCCACAACCCTACGAGAAAGAACTGTAGTTATTGAAAAAAACCTAGACAGCAACAAACTTTTAAAGGAATGATGTCCTGTTACTACAAAAAACACCTTGTAAACAATATGATATCATTAAAAATGGTTTGTAACCCTGTATTCCACGTGTTTTTCGACTCAAACTAGTGCTCAGGCGCCTCCGCGGTTTTAAAGATAGCGCGAGAATGGAATGTGAAAATCCGGCTTTCTGATTGGTCCATTTTGGTCACGTGGCGATATACGGCTCTCTGACTGGCTCTCCGCCATACTGGCACCCTTTACTACTCTCTGCTCACCTTCAAGGTGATTATCTGTCAGTTGTATTGCCGAAATGGAAATGTGGCGTACCTGAAGGCAGATGGAACGTGCTGCTAGGAAACTGGGTCGTACGGGGAAATGTGTCGTACTTCAAGGCAGATGGATCGTCCTTCATGGGAAATGGCGAGACGTGCAAAACTAGTTTACGGCGCGAAGGACAGCCTATCCAACTAGAAAAATAAATACGTTGACCCTCTCCTTTTTCAAGAAAAACTAAAAAGAAGACTTCATTCGACAAAACAAACAAAGACCTACAGGGTCCCATGCAGCACTACAACTATCTGAAGAATTATTTTTTATCATATTGCGTCTCTCATGTTTACTCAGTAAAACTGATCTTTCAAGATAATTGAATTATTGATTCTAAACAGTGGGGCCAGATACCCTCTATTCCTGAAAGGCAGGAGCCGCGGATGTTATAGATAGGATTGGGAAATTAGCTCAAGTGGTCGAGCGCCCGCTTTGCATGCGGAAGTTACTGGGATCTTCATTTTAGTGCCCTAATTCTTTGAAAAAAGCTTGCCTCGGCAGGTTATCCAATCAAAGTTTAGCCGCTTTTTAACAAAACCGCGTTCTGAGCCATCTTCAGTTTAGCCTAACTTTTTATCTGAACATTTATTTTTGTAAATAGTGTCAAGAGGGCCGAAAGCTGATAGTGGAGGGACATTTATTCAATTAAATCAACCCTCTTATAGAGAATCCCTGAGGCCTACTTGCTGCATAAAACCGCGCTTTGGTTTAGATCTCGTGTAAATAACCGGCCCCAAATGTCCAAATAAAGGATTACCAAGCGGGTACCGAGGCTTAAACTAGTTTTATAACTCGCGTGTGTCATATTAACTCGCCCAAGAATTATTAAGGAGAATAGAGACCCTTTTGCAATTGTGTCTATGAACGTATTGTTCTCTTCGAACTTCCTTGAGTATCACTATTTTCCAGATATTGCCACAAAGAAAAAAAAGAGATAAATATGTGAATAATGATAATAATAATGATGGTAATGATAATGATAGAAATCTGCACAAATCTGAAAGTATGTACAGTACTAAAAGAAAGTAAACTATGTACAGATAATTGTAACTGTGAGGAGTTCGCTTTTTATTTTTCTATGTTTGTATCGTGATGTTTGTAATTGGATTCATAGACTGGCCCGCCTAGACTAGCATCGGCTAAGCGCCTGCCATGAAAAAAAATTTTAAATTTCAAAAAATTTCAATGAAAAATGGCTGTTGTTGTTGAAGCTTTACGATAACGCTCTTCAAATTGGTTTGGGTTTCAATATGTACGGGAAATATCTTGAAAACGAAACTTTCCGAACATCATCGCCCAACTGTTATTTTTGTAATTTTTGGCGAGATAAGCAGACCCTTGTTAAGCATCCGTTTTCCACTGTAGAAGGAAAAATTAATTGCCTTTATCACAGTGTAAAAGCCTTATTCAGATTAATCCATTTCACCCGTGAAAAGGGTACACTCGCCAAAATTGTACCAAAATTCCACTTTTTTATCCATTGCATTTTGCTTGGTAGGACCTTATATCAATTCTAGTCGATCCCGGTAGCACTTTCTTTACCAGCTCAAAGTCTATCGAGCCAGCGGAAAAAATTACATCGGCACTGTGTGAACTATGGTATGGAGGCGCGCGGAGAAGCTTTCACACAGCGGTGACTATAGCACCGACTTACTTACTCACTTACTTACTCATTACCCATCCACGCACTCACTTACCCGCCCACCCACCCAATCACTCACTCACTCACTTACTTTCTTACTTACTGAGTTACTGTTATGTAACACTGTTTGGTCCGTTAGCTCAGTCAATAGAGCGTGGTGCTGATAAGACCAAGGTCGTGAGTTCGAACCTCACACGGACCAAAGAACACTACATGGTGCTTCCATGAAATAATCTAAAAACATTCTAAGACTCATTTGTTTCCCTACAAATCATTTTACTATTTTCCATAATTCATTTACAGGGGATGAAATTTTTTTTTACGATTATTAATTCAATAACGTTCTAAAGAGGGGGAAACAAATGATTTGCTTCAATGAAAAGATCTAAACGTCAAGACTAAATTGTTACCCTCAAATCATTTTTACTATTTTTCCATGTTTTATTTCCAAATGAAAATTTTTAAGATTATTAGTTCAATTAATTAATTCTCCCGGTATTATTTCGCACCCTGGGTTTTTCTAACTTAGACGAGTTTTCAAATTGAATAACGTCATTTAGCTCAAGCTATTAAACAGTCTGTCAAGCTCGATTATCCACCGTTGTGATTAGTCTAAGAGAACCTTTTAAGATTTTTCATATAACTTTATAATCGGCCCTTGAGTAGTATATTTGGTTTCGTTATCAAGGTGACGTGTTAAATGATATTAATCCAGAGAAAACCTCCATGAAGGATGATCTCCAACTCTGGTTTCAAAGCGCTACGTATAAACCGTCTCCATGGCACAATCGATCAGCGCGCTTAGCTGTTAACCGAAAGGTTCGAGCCCACCAGGGCACGGTCTGTTTTGTGTTCAAAAAATACATTGATTTTCTACGATAATTTTAATGGATACTCACCTTGAAAGCCAATGCAAGGTTCTCGATTGCTTTTTTTCTTTCCTTCCATCTGACTTTGATTACTTTCTTGTGGCAGGGCCGGGTGTGTTGTACTCTACTGATTCCATCGTTCCTGTTGTACTGTTGATTGTATGTATATTGTCTCTAGGTCTCTTAGTCTGCTCAATATAAGATTCTGATATTGAGGTTTCTGTTTTTGTTTAGCGTGGTGAAAGGCAATTGTTATTTGGACTCGAGTTGTCGATTGTTCCACTGTGACGTCTTTCAAGGTCATGAAAGATATCTATAGTGGATAAAAACAATTTCCGAACAAAAAAATCAGAAGTAAGAAAGTAGTTAATGTTTACTTCAGTTGAGTTGTGGGTAATTCCTGATATAAATGTCCTAATTTCATTATTGATGATCAAAAACTATGATCAATACTATAGAACAACAAAGTTTTCTTGCCTGTTTCTTTTTCCCTGTCTCATGGGGTTTTCTCTAATGAGAACCTAAAATAGTTCAAGCATGTGGCGGTAATTGTTTCTTGGTGTGATTTACGAGATTTTTAAAAAGCACCCGAGGCGCCGGAGCTCAATTGGCAAGTGCCTGTCTAGTAAACTGGATGTCAGGGGTTCAAGTCCCATAATTGCCTTTTTCATTTTTAGCCAGGAAATTTTGCAAACTGCACCCAAGTCAGCGGGAGTTAGTAAACAATAAAGAACACAATCATTTTTATAAGCAAAAGGAAGAAGAACGAGGCCTCATTTGTGCGGTGCAGAACTCATAAAATGACGAAGGCTTAAAGAATCCCTCTCTATCATCTCAAGAAGGATCTGAACAGTAAGACAAGGTTGATTAGATTTACTACCTCACAAGGGTCGGGTAGTTTCTGTTTCCGTTTTCACATGCACCTCACCTCTGCTGAGGCAGACGCGATGAGTACCGCACTACATCAACTTCCCAGCCTTCCTCTATAGACTACTTCCCGTGGCTGTTACTTTCTTTACCTTACAAGCAACAAACAAACCATGTCCTTTTTGTAAAGTTTTAAAAGGCGGGGATTGTGACGTCCTTGCTCAATTGATTCTACGAGTGTTTTAGTTCTCGGTAAAACATTCAAGTTCATATAGTAAATGGATGCGGGTAGATATGGGAGTTCTCTTCGAATGTTCCACTCGATAGCTTACTTGTGAGCACAGAGAACGAGTGAGGCATCGAGTTGATCACGAGAAGAGAACTTCCATATCTACAAGCAACCATGTATTACATTGCTCATTATATAAACACGATAGCCCTTTCCTGACAAGAAAAGTTGACTTTATTGCTGAATGAAAGAAATAGGGTCCATCCCCTTTGCTGTATTTGTAAACCAAATCCCAACCATGGCTAAATGTACCCAGAAAAGCAAGATTCCAAGAATGCTACCGGTCAGGTCTCCTTAAAATCAAGTAACTGAACTGCGGGCCAAAATTAAAGAAATGTCCACTGGAAGTGACCAAGGTTGGGGAATTAGCTCAAGTGGTAGAGCGCCCGCTTAGCATGCGGGAGGTACCGGGATCGATACCCGGATTCTCCAAAGGGGCCTTTTTCTTTTAATAAATGATACTTACATACCGCTCCGGCTAATTTCAAATGTTTTTTTTTTTCTAATTCATGTCTTTCATTCATTCATTAATCTGCCGAAGATAAAAACAAAAATTGTACAGATCTAGGTAGAATCCTTTTTTAAATCGGTAGGTCAACTGCTCATGTGGAAAATTTAAGAAAGCTGAGGAGGGAAAGGTATCAACATAAGCCACAGCTGAAAGAAATGCTTCTCCCCATTGGCGAGACGGATGGATATAATTTGCAAGATGCGCTTTCCTTTTCCTTCTCCGTAAAGAAGAGAAAAATGCGAGCAATGAGCAAAATTTCTCCTCGTATCATGTATGAACAGCTATTTTCTTATTCCACCATTCTCTTGTTTCCTGATATTTTGGCCTATAGATCCCAAAGACTACGAAAAACAGAACCTGGGAGAGGACCAACGAGCATCGATAGGATGAAAAAATCCCCACCGCGCTCGTTGCGGTAAAAATTAGGGAAATATACCCGGCCCAATGGATAAAATTCTCCCGACCTGCCGTGCACGGCCTTACGATAAAAAATGCCCTTAGGAATCTCGATTCTAAGAGATTATGACACTAATAAACGAGAATTTAGGTTGTCTTTGCCATCCTTAGCGTTTTCGCTGGCCGAAAGACCGTTCGCTTGAAAAGCCGATCAAATAATCCAACATTAATCGCACAGGCTGCTCCTCCTGCATAGGTATTAAGTAAGAGATAAATACCGATAACGGAGCTATTAATCCATATACATCCCGAGGGCCGTAGGGCCGAGGGATGTGTATGGATTAATACCGACGTTTGAGGTATTTAACTGACTTATTTCAGGATGTTATTCCTAAGGGATCTTTATGTAACGATCCTTTCTTCAAGGGGCCAAATACCGGCTAATTAGTACGGTCATGCCTTCGTCGGATCAAAGCCGATACAATGAAAACAACCTGATGCGTGCGTTTCTCACAGGACTGTGATAAGTTGTGTGCTAATTCCTCCGTGATAAGCACTAGACTTTTTTGTACTTGGATATTTTGGCGAGTCCACAAGGGACTTAGCATTGCATTTTCTTTGTTTTTTGTTTATGTGTTCTATTGTTTGATATTTGGTTTTTGTTCTTGTTTACTAATTTTTCGTTAAATGTTTTCCAGCGACTCATTTCTCTGTTTTTGTGCTGTCGTTAAGGACGGCATGTAAAGCGACCAGGGATTTTTTCTTACTCAAAATAGTTTTTCGGAAGAAATATAACAACACAATTTTAGAATTGATTCTATTTTAGACGGCCTAGTAGCTAATGACAAGCCTGCTCCACGAAATTCGTGTGTGGAAGAATTAAAGCAAGTAATGACTGAAGAAAGCATCAAGGATGGACGGACAGACCCATCGAATCGCCTAGAAGCAGTAAGGACGAATCAGGAAATAATGAGAATTAGAAACCTCATGAAAGAAGGCGTTGATAGTTGAAGGGAATCTTAGAGGTTATTACTTTTTTTTTCGCTTCTCTTTTAAGTTTTGCCGGATATTGTTGCTCATAAATTGAAAAGACGCCGTCACTCTAATCAACCATAAATTTACCTCTTTCTGCGGTTTGAAAATCATTATATTGATTTTACCTGTCATGTAAATTTGACCGAGAAATTACGTGTTCATTAAGCTTTGCTTAGTTAAGGCGAGGGCGTCGGAAAAGAAAGGAGTCTGCATTTCTGTTTTCCTATTTGTTCGTGAGTGGTAAATTTTCCCGATTGGGTACATGAAGCTGTCGTGTTAATGCTAAGCCGCATAAAGAATCAAATTATGTGCATGCATTTTGATGGCGGGGATGGAAATAAGTTTTTTGCTAATTCCATTTCTCTAACATATTTTCCAAAAAAAACTTTTTGACCAAGATTGAGCATCTATAATTATATGCCACGACAAATGATCTATCTGCAAGTTTAAAAGTGTTCATGCTGATATGTTAAGATAATACTGAAATTTTGATACTAAATAGGGGGGCCGGATACCCTCTATTCCTGAAAGGTAGGAGGCCGGGCATGTTATATATTGGATTGGGGAATTAGTTCAAATGGTAGAGCGCCCGCTTGGCAGGCGGGAGGTACCGGGATTAAAATCCGGATTTTCCAATTGGTACCTTTATTCTTTTGTTTATTCTTTGGAAAAAGCTTGGCTTATAAAGTATTAACTAAGCATCTCTTTTGTACACTTCAACGGCTGGTCATTTAAACAAAGTTTAGCCATCGTTTAACAAACCCACTTTTTAGGCCATCTACTCAGCCGAACTTTTTATCTGAACATTTATTTTTGTGTCAAAAGGGCCGAAAACTGATAGTGGAGGGACATTTATTCAATTAAATCAACCCTCTTGTAGAGAATCCATGAGGCCTACTGGTTGCGTGAAACCGCGTTTGAGTTAGAACTCGTGTAAATAAACGACCCTAAATGTCCAAGGAAAGGATGACCAAGAGGATGCCGAGGCTTATGCAACTTTTATAACTCGCGTGTATCGTTATTAATTAACTTGCTCAAGAATTGATGAGGAGGATAAAGACCATTTTGAAATTGTGTCTAAGAACGTGTTGCTCTCTTCGAGCTCAGACTACTAATTAAATTTTTTCCAACAATTGTTTTACGGCACATTCAATAAATTCAATTTCCTATGGCGACGGAGAAAACCTGTATAAATATACGATTCTAAGAGAATATCTCAAAACAAAATCAGAACTTTGGCTAATGTCTTTCAAAAATTAAGAAAATTGGTATGTGTACACACCAAGAAACAACTCAAAATATTTAAATAGGTTTTCACCGTCGCTATTGAAAGTTGAATTGCTTGAATGTGATTTAAAACAAACTGAAAAAAAAAGTAATTGGATAAGAAAACACCTCTGGAGTCATCTTTCTAAATAGTCTTTCCTACACATTTAAGTTGGTCGATAGAGAAACAAAAACTTGTATGCAATCATGCATGGTCAAGAGGGGCCTGTCCAGGAGTCGAACCCGGGACCTCTCGCACCCGAAGCGAGAATCATGCCACTAGACCAACAGGCCAGTCACAAATATGACGTGTCTGAAAAAAAAAAAAAGGCACAATGAATGTCCTGGAAATGCTTCAAATTCATTTTTCATGAGTGACGAAAAAAGATCTTTATTAAATGAACTGTGGGAATGAATACTCATAGCTCTAAAGATCGAGAAGTTCAGGTAAACGGGAAAGTTTTGATATTGCAAGAGCCACCGTTGCATTCAGTCGCTTACCCTAGCCTATCTTACTTCGACCTCTTTCCTTCCCTGTACGACCTGCTCACAAGGAGACAAATTCTTATTCCTTCGCGACGATTTTATATTTTAATTTTGTTTGAGGTGGCTATGAAGAGAAGCTAACACCACTTATGTAAATGTCGGTAAATAATAGCGGCATAGAGGTTCACAAAGTTATATAAAACTCCTAAATTTTGCTTCGGAAACGCAAAAAGGGTTCATGGGTAGTGGTGGGTGCATCTGCAGTGTTTGTACGAACATACAGATTCGTACATTTCCTAACCAACTCGCAACGGTAAGGATTCCAACTTCCAATGTTCTTATGAAAACAAGAGTGTATAAACACATAGTTATTTAGGTTTGCAAAAATTGCAATTGGCGAATATGTTAAGCGAGTAGTATGTGATAGCGATCGTGATAGTGACAAAAGATCACTTGTGTCTCTGGCAGGGCCTGCGACTTTCCGCGTGTGAGGCAGACGTGATAACAACTACACTATAGGAAACTTAACTACGAGAAGTTATTAATCCTATCAAACTGAAATAAATAGATAAAGTAATAGATAGAAAAAATAGAATAAAATATCAGATTATCTACACGGCAATAAAACTAGAATATTTTTCGAAGATTTTGAAGTACAAACGAGAGAAACATATGCGCCAAGATATTCACGTCAAGTAAATTGCGTTAGCCAAGAGTAGTTTTACTATATTAATTTTTAGTTGCTGTTGTAATTGTCCTTTTTGCTCTAAATGAATCAGAGAGAAAGAGAAAAGACCAAACTGTGTCATTGAAGCTGATCTTTTGCGTGTATTTCACCAAATAATGATCGGCCAGATCTGAAAAAAGTAGAGGGAGGGCATGAAAATAAGTTTAGGGAAAGGAACGTTTGGTCCAAATTAGGATCAGGCCTCGAAAAACTTGTTTGCACGTCCCCACAAAGAATTCCAAGGTGTACAAAGACTCTGTTGTTGAAGATTATTAAACCAATATATTTTGAAAAGTTATGATGAGAGGAAAGTAAAATACAAACATATAGATGATATGGAAAGTCAGTTACAAATAAGTGTTTTGTTCAGATGGCTTTATAGAGACAAAAAAGTATTCTCTGGTCTGTGTGAGTATCGAACTCACCACCTTGGCGTTATCAGCACCGCGCTCTACCGACTGAGCTAACAGACCACTGAGCTCTGCACCACACAAAATATGCCAGGGCGTGACATGCCCCTTGCTCTTAAAGTTGTAAAGAAGATAACGAAGTAATTTAAAATGATACTCTCTTATGTGTTGAAAATCCTTCAGGATGTACTTGATCAACAGCACTCAGCTCTTTGTTCCCTGCCAGGAACATTTTTGCAAATATGTCCTTAGTTCAAAATCTCCTCTAGTTTCATATTCTATTAAACAAATCAAAATTGCATTGCACTTTTATTTTCTTAAGAACCTTTCTTTATTTAGGTGCCACTAAGTCTGAGACAGACCACAGTGCTAAAAATATAATTTGAGCACATTTTCACCTACTGGTTTCAAGTTAAATTGCGTCGGAATTACTTGCCGAGCTTCGCAAAAGCGATGTCAGCTATGTCGCAGACACCTCAAACAAAACAAAAAAGTAATTCCACAGCAACAGATCATTGAAGCAGGTCATAGAAAGAAGGATAGAGCAAAAACATTTTGCAAAATGCACCCAATAAGTCAGTGGGAGTTAGTAAACTATATTGAATACAGTAATCTTTACGAACAGAAGGAATAAAAAGATATTCAAATATACGAAAGCTTAAACAATCCCCCCTCTATCATCCCGAGAAGGATGTGAACAATAATACAGAGTTGATTAGATTTACTCCCTCTTATGACACTGGTCGGGTTTTCTCTTTTTCCGTTTTCATATGCGCTCACAAAGATTTCAAATTCGTTTTTATGAATACCACAAATAGGTTTTCATGAGATAAAAATTGGGAATTTTTCTAATCTCCTGTAAAAAAAGCAGCCATCTTCCCTGCGGGGAATCGAACCCCTTTAAGTTAAACAGCCACGAGTTCACCATTGGAGTACTGATCATAAAGGGACAAGGCTAAAGCAGCTGCTTCGCCTGTATCCAGACTTCCTCCTGCCTTGGAAAAGAAGCGAATTTAAGTGATCGTGAATCTTATTGTTTCTAACGAAAAGTCGATTAAGATTCACTGTAGATGCACTCCAGACTACAAAAGGAACAGTGGAATAGAAGAGAACATTCCCCTAACGAGGGATATACCAAAACAAATCCGTGATCACGTTTTCATTCATTTTATCAAGGCGAACAAAGTCGGAAAAAGTCAATTGTGTTGCACGCGGAAGGTCGCAGGTTCGAGCCCTACGAGAAACATTTTCGATTTGTGACCATTATCTTTTTGCTTGGAGGATAGACATACACCACTGCAGTTGAGCCGCTTTACAATTCTTGCAAATTGTATCAAATATATTTACTTTTTGTCACTTATTTTTTCCTCCTTGTGAGAATAATTAATAACTCCAAAATCAATAACGTAAATTTAAGTCTTCTTTTCATGAGAATCTTATTCTTTCTGGGTGTGTTGAGGCTGAGGTAAACTGAAAAACACACCAACCACGTGGTTGGTGTGTTTTTCTACAATTCTGAAAAATTAACCACCGAAGTTAATGTTCAGGTTTCTTTAGTGTAGTGTTAATTACATTTTCCTATCACGCGGAAGGTCGCAGGTTCGAGCCATTCCAGAAACATTTTCGATGTATGACCATTATATTTTTGTTTAGAGGATGGGCAGACTCCACTGTAATATGTGCTGCTTTAAAATTCTTACAAATTGTTTTAAATATATTTACTTTTGGTGAATTGTTTTTTTCCTCCCCGTGAGAATAATTAACAACTCCAAATTCAATGAAGTAAATTTAACTTTTCTTTTCATGAGAATCTTATTTTTTCCGCCCGTAATGAGGCTGAGTTGAACTAGAAAACACTTACCGGTTTGCAAGTCAGTCTGACCAGTTTTATTTAAGTTCATGCAGACCTCAGATCAACAAACGACACTTGTTGGAATCAAGCTTTGCTATACCAACTAACCGAGAACAGCTTTTTCGTCTAGTAATTTGATGTGGCTTGGCCTTTGTCTGTATCCCGATTATTTGCCGGGATTCGCACCACAGAAAGCTCAGACGATATTAAAAGTCCGTGCACGTGTTGGCGAAGAATCGCAAAATTTACTCGTATGGAGTAAATTTAACATAATTTCGCGAAATCCTAAGCGAAATTGTTCTCTTCACGTCTTCGACGTCTTTCTGCTGTCTATGATTATGTTGAAAATTGACACTTTGACTCTTGAATTACTATCAAACATGAACTTAAAATGAGACGTTCGAGCGCGCATAACTCGTGTGTCACCCTGACAGCCTAACTTCACCAGCTAGTCAGCAGCAGGAGTGAAAGGCAAATAAAAGACAGAAACAACTGAGCCTGTTCCCACAACACCCTCCTCGATTCTGCCGTTAGTTTATTCAGAACACGGCATTTCAGACCTGCTGCAGATGCCACTAATGTAGTGTAGTGGTTATCACGTCCGCCTCACACGCGGAAGGTCGCAGGTTCGAGCACTGCCAGAAACAAATTTTGTCACAATCGTCCGCACTATTAGAAATCCAAGTTTTATCATCATCCTCTAATCAAAATATTTTTTTCTGAGTATTTTGAGGGTGGGTTCACTAAAAAACGCGCTTCCCGGTGGCTACCAAGTCTGGATTGTTCTGTCTATGCTCGTGTAAAGACCACATGAATAAACTTGTCGGTATGACTTCCGTCCTGCGATTATTTGTTGGAATTCGCACGAGTGATGTTCAATGCTCCCAACAGAAACCAAGAACGAAATGAATGGCAATCAAACATCCGTGTAAGACGTTGACTTCTTTCATTTAACTATATATAGATCAAAAACTCTGTTCGCATCATATTCCACAACAAAACGCGCATCTCCGGGAGTCGAACCCGGTACTTTTCGTACCCAAAGCGAGGATAATGCCATTAGACCAACAGCCATGAGTTCACCATAGTGTCAATTTGATTTTTTTTCTGTCCGAGATATCTTTGCTAACATCGGAGAGTTGGTTTCTACACCTGCGATTATGCTAAATGGGCCCTCCAACCAACTGCGACCCGAACAATAACCTTGATTTAGGAAAAAACTAAACTGAAATCGAGGGACAATCGCTGCTACAAGCCTGCACTATTTTAGGATCTCTTTGAGGAAAGTATAGTAAAGACAAGTAAAATAATTTGATGTTCTTGGCCTCGATCATAGTTTCCAATCATCGTAAAGGACGTTAGCAGATGCACGCCATATATTACTTATTGCCCGTTTTTTTTTTGTTTTTTTTTTTATTGCTTTACCCCTCAAAACCTTCCTGCACCAAATGTCTTCCCCGAACAAACACATCAGAGAGACATTCTTTCCCAAAAAGTTTAATATAAGAGTCTCACATCTGGTGTTTACTAAAACTATAATTTAGTACTTCTTGCATAAAAAGTGACGCTAAAAGGCCTTCTCTGCTCTCGTGCCTTAATGTTTTTTGAAGGTTAGTATAAACACAGTAATGTGTGATTTATCTCGATACAGATTTGGCTATTTTAGCTGTGGGGTAAAGTAGGTTGGACTGAATTTTTCCTGAGTTTTTCTAAAAGTTTATTGATTCTGGACATCAACCACCTATTTAGCTCTGATGTTCTAGTTGACAAAAGCGTAAAATCTTTGTGGGACGTTCTTTATTTCACAAACTCTGTTGATGTTCACAATTTTTGTTTTCTGCAACAAAACTTGGAAACAAGTGGCATGCATATGGGAATATGAGCAAATGACAAAAAAATATATCACTTCTACTTGTATTTTTAAAAGAAACTAATCAGCTAACATAGAGGTCTACCCAACGTAACTGCTGACTTATACCTCAAGTGTATACCTTCCATGCAATGATTTGTCTACAAAACTTAAGAATGCTTGTAACAGGAAAATAGTGTGAAAAGTATTGACTGGTAAATTTAATTTAGGGCCGGGAAATGAGCTCAAATGGTAGAGCGCCTCGCACGTGGGAGGAACCAGGATCAATTCATGTATTCTCTATTTATCGACTGGATCTTTCTGTTCTAACTCTGAATACCTTACCATGTGAAAAGCTGCTTATGCATCGGTAATGTAAACTTAGATTTGGATAAAAAACAAATGAAAGATTTACTGATCTTGTAATGAGGCTCAGTAATACCTTTCGTAGTTTACCTAATTCATTAATCAGAGTGGTCGGAGAGTAGGATCAAGACATTTAGAACAATTATGTTATTAAACTGCTATAGTTCAATGTTACGATTATCAAATATTAAGGAAAATAAAGCCTTTCAAAGATCAAGGTGACGTCTTCTTCCAACCGACAGGTCCACCGTCCGTTTTTTGTTGAATAACTAAGAAGGCAATGAGAAGGTTATAAACCCAAGGTTACAAACACAGACCCAGTTTCTGAACAACACGGGATAAGTTCTTACTACTTACAGAGATAGAGAGGTTTCATCTGCTGAAGTGGTTTTCACCTTCCACCTACCACAATACGAAAACCACCGCTGCTCCGCAGTAATTTTTACGCACCTATCGGAAAAATATCTTTTATTTACTGTTGTACCCCTCATTTCAAAGACTTTTCTATATCAATGATCCTTTATGGAGAGTTTGGTTTGAACCTCGCGTGGGGCTCCAAGCAATGGACTCTGTTTCCAACGGCCCCTAAAATTAATCTAGTGAAGGCCCTTAGTGAAACTACTCTTAGCTAACACAGTTTACTTGACGTGAATATCGTCGCATATGTTTCTCCCTTTATTAGTTAGCTCTTTATAAATTTCGATGCCAAAACCACTAATCTTCTTAGAGGTTTCTGGGGTGTATTGGTTTTGTCTCTATCATATTTACTCATTGTGTTTGAACGAAAAGTGGACGTTACCTGTCCAATATCGGCACTAATTGAAATCTTTACAAATTCGATTAAGTAAATAAAAATTTCTTTCAAAATTCCTTTTCGTGAAATTCTTTCTTTTGAGAGAAAATTGAGGCTGAAATAAACGAAACAAACTTAAAACGCACTTACCTTTGCCGGCGAATCACTTTAGAACATTTTATCTATGTTAGTGCTCACACAAC